AGGTGCTCCGTGCTGACAGGATTTCCACACACAAAACCTAGGAAAACATGTAATTATGGGGAAACTCTGTCTGCATGGACACGTCAAGCATAAATCAAGCTTTAATCAGCTCACTGCAGCTCCTCCAAAGCTATCATGGACCTCTGCTGGTGGATGTCTTTGTATGTTTTTAAGTAATAATTAGCAGTTATATTACAATTTAATAATAATAATACATTTAATTTATACTGCACTTCCCATCAAAGTATCTCAAAGTGCTTGAGGTAAAAAGCGAGAATAAAAAAGCATGAAAAAAACATCTAAAGGGGACCAAAAGCTTAATTTATTATTATTTGGCATAAAATATAATATGATTTGTAATTTATACCCATAAAGATGGATCTGAAATGATCTGAAATAATGACAAACATAATGATCAGTACTCTGAACTTCTACTTCCCCTTTTAATAAATTTGTAACCTAAATATGTAGTGGAACTACTTCCTGAAAGTATTTGACTGGTATTTTTATTTTTTCATTGGTATCTGATGATGGGTTGAACTATTTTTTTCCCAGACATCTCCTGCTGTGTTCCTTAGTCTGTTTGATGCTTTTAAAAGTCTATTTTCACTCTTTTTTATTCTAGGGTTTCAATTTAGAAGGATTTGAATGCAAAGGACAATGAATATAAACAAGTAAAATTATCTTGATATAAGTGTACAGTGTTTTCATTTTATTTGAGCAGGTAAGGAAGACAATTTTCCAGAGGGATAAGATGATTTACATTTTTAAAAATGTCAAAATCTTTTTTCAAGTCCATCTATTTATCTTATTTTAACAGGAAAAAACATCTAATTGGCTGATCATCTTATTTACCTGCTGATATTAAGGACGAATATGATTATTTGAAGATATTTTTACTTATTTTTAAATATATTTTTTGGAGTGTAGAAATAAAAAAAGAAGTATTTAAGAACCTTCCCTGTATGTAAACTAGTGTTAAACCAACTCTGATACCAGTATCGATCAGGGCCCTGGTCCAGCACTATAATGGTGGTATTGGTATCGGCGAGAACCGACAAATAGGGCACCGATACCATTTTGACAGCCAAATGTTTCTTCAACTATTGTCACCCATTCCAGGTAGGCAATAAAAAGTTCTACTGGATTCACCTTGTTTTACTCTTTTTCCTGCTTCACAAAGGTAGGCAGCAGCTTGACAAAGCCATGATGGCAATTATTTTACATCCAAGAAGTTTCATATATAAACAAACCAATCAATTTCCTCAAACATCTTTTCCTCTGAGAAAAGCCTCCAAAGCAGTGTTTTGCTCTTCTTTCAGTGAAGAAATACTCCGATAAAACTTGCTCGATAGCCACGCTAACACTAGTTTCATCGGCTGAAGCCGCCATGTTCTTTAGACTGAACTGTCGCGCTTCTCGTTGCGTTACACCTCAACCCGCCTCAAAGCCAACGCTGATTGGACGTTCGTTTGGTGAACGGCTCCAAATTTTCTTTAACAGAGAGTCTCCAGACTGATTAGCGAGTGAAACCTTGAAAGCTTGCGAGATCAGGATGGATTCACCAGGCTATCGGTTATCGGTATCGGGGCCAAAAAAATGGCATTTGGTGCAACACTGATGTAAATCAGCTGAAGGTGTATTAATAATTAACATCTGGTCAGGTAGGGTCGGCAGCATCCAGAATCACTGGCAGATCTTATTACAGATTAATTTTTTCTCACCTATCCTCTGCTCTAATAACTTTAAAGTCTTCAAACTGTGGTAAAATGGCTCCTCCTTAATTAAGACATGGAGACAAACTGGCTTTGCTTCATGCAACATGTGGGGAAGCACATGCAGGCTGGTTTTCTCCTCATAATCTGTTTCTTCCCTCTTAGTTTTTCTTCTTTCCGCTGTCCTGTTTCGTGCTCCATGACAGCGGATTAATCCGTGCGTTCGCTGTTAGATCTGATCTGAGTCCTGCAGATGCAAGAAGGATTTGCTCTCTCATGTCACGCTTTAGAAATGACAGTAGATCGTATTGAAGAGATATTTTTATTGCTGTCTCTTCAGACACGCAGCAGCTTCCTCTCTGCTCCAGATTCTGTCTGTATTTACCGTTGGCCTTGTTAAGCAGGGGGAGCCGGCCGCCCACTCAGACTGTCTGTCAGGATCCGAACGTGTTGGGCAGAAAATCCATGCAGATGCTTTTGTGCAAATGTGTATGTGCTTTACGGAGCTTCTGAACGGCTCAGCTCTGCAAAAGTCTTTCATTTGATCATCAGGTCCCTGCAGCGTGGACATGTTGATGAGGGCTGATCTTAAAGCTGCCGCCGCCTCAGAGGAGCGGCCTTCTGACACGTCTTCTCTTCAGTTTGTTTTTGTTTGCTTTTGCTGAAGAACGCTGTAGATGTTTGATTAATAGATGGTGTGTTTGGACGGTTCAAGGAGCTCCTTCATTTTGCTCCTCGTTTGATAAAGTCATGGATGATGGATCACGGTGGAGAACAAGAATTTACAAAGACAGAGTCATCCTCTCTGTGCAAACATCCTTATGTGCTGTTGCATGCTGGGAGGTGCCGCTGCACTAAAGCTTCATCCACACATTGTCGGCATTGTTATCGTTTTCATTTATGGCTTTGAACTCTTTATTTGAACTCTTATTTCCCCCAAAAAGGAACTAATGTAGAAAAATAGAAATATAAAAGTTTCAAAAGGGAACTATGAGAACATGGTGAACTTATTGTGGATTTTTTTCCACATTAATTTCTATTTCCAAAGGGTCCAACATTATGGAATCAGGCTCTAATTGCAGGTTTCTGGCCGATCGGTACCAATATTTAAAAATCCTAATTTTTGAAATGATCCATTATCCATACAATTATTATTGTAAGATCACAAGCTACCTTTTATATTTTAGTCTCATTAAAACATGAAACAATCACTGCAACAATAAAAAATGTTTAACTGCACATTAGGCATTCCTATCAAATATAAATGCAATCTTTAGAGTGTTGACAGTGGCTGATGTTCAGACCTTTGCAGAGGTAGATAAGATCCATTTCACTGATTAATATTCTTCCAGACTGATGGAAATCAATGCTTTTAACCAATACATCGGCCAGCTGATATTGTTCACAGTTTTATTCTCCTAATCGTCTAATACCATGATTCGGGTGTTTTGGACCGAGCACAAATCTAAACGTTGCAGCATGTTGGCTGTTATTAACTGGAATTTCCCACCCCTGAGTTAAACTGATGTCAAAATAATCGGTATCTGTATCGGCCTTGAATAAATCTGGATCCATTGATCTCTACTTTGGACCTTCTCCGCCTGCTGATGTAGCCACCATCTGGCTTCTTCTTTTGATTCTAGCATAATACTTCAACACCTTTTAATAATAACTTCAAAAAGATAATATTCTTTTAACTGTTTTGTTTTCTGGCACAGATCTAGTTCTTAATCGTATGTTTTAGATTTAGCTACTTTTCCCTTCAAATCTACTTTGGGTGTTTTTTTTGTTTTGTTTTTTTTGAAAACCCAAACATGTTCAGTTTCTTACAGTTCAGCCGCTTGTCTGAGTTAAAGGTTATTAATCGTCTAATTTCATATGCACCTCGCAGGGGGCAGGTGACCCTGAGCATGGTTCTACCACCACCGTGCCTGGCAGTCCCTGCTGATGTTTAACAGTAGCTTTAGTTTACATTTGCAAATTTCATTGATCAAATGTGTTTGGATTAGAATAAAAAAGGTGATCTGACCGCTCTGTTTATATGAGCTCAAAATCAGATGATGCACGTTTTTTTGCCCTAATAAAAGCACTCAGAGATGCGCCGTTGAGTGAAGGTTTGAGCCCATGAGAAAAACAAACAAACAACCATGGCGGTGTGTTGGTTCTGATGGTTCTGGGGGCCCAGGATGAACCTCCATCAGATATTTACACAAAGAATGTTGTTCTGGTTGTTTATGTTCATGTAAACATGTTTCTGTTATTGAGTCTCCTATAGAACATATGGTGTCCTCCTGCTATGAAGGTCTGGGTTCAGATGGTTGAAATTACGGCTGCTACTAATGATTGTTCCTTCAATTATCTTTTAAATTAATTAATTATTAATCGGATCGCCAGAGTTTCCCAAAAGTGACTTTTTACAGAATTAAACCAGGTGAAACTAAAACTTTTTCTTTTTAAGGAGGTCTGGATAGAGCATATTGACAAACAAAAACAATTTTTTTTTTTTACTTAAATGCAAAATGTTTATATATTTTTATACAATTTTTGTATAATTCCTGCTCTAAGTGGGTTGCTATGTCACCTAAAAGCATATTTTAAAGTCTCTATAGTCCAGCTGACGATTACTTAGTTGACGATTATTGCAATAATCGATTAATCGGGATTAATCCGATGAATTGTTTCAGCCCAGGGGGAACCCAGGAAGAAAATGTTGGATTCTAGGAGGCAAAGATGAAGCAGTTAAAGCCTTTCAATAAAGAGGAGATCAGATGCAGGCTGAAACCTTCCTGCACCTTTCTAAGAAACATTCATCCAAAGGTTCTAGGGGTGAATTTAGACATGAGACTAGAATTTAAAAATGATTTCAAACAGTAAAAATAGGATTTTATTTTTAATAGGGATTCTGTTTAAAAAAATAATCCATCATAAAACCTAAAAATTTAACCTATAAAACTTTGAGATTCATGCAAATGCTGAGTAAATGTAAACTTTTGAGCAAAGCTGTATTTAGAGAGCATTTCTAGTGACTGCCAGTTCCCCCCCCCCCCCCCCCCCCCTCCCTGCCACTAGATGAGAAAGTCTTGTCTCTGTTGATGAATATTTAAAGGAAAACACTCCTTTTATCTCTCCATTTGGAGTCCCAACGCCCCCGATCCAGAAGGCACTTATTTCCATCCCTGCTGCTGCCATTGGTGGCCCGGGGCCAAGTTCACCACTCATTAGTCACGACCCGCTTTTGTCCCGTTTCTGTTGTTCTTGTGTTTCTCATCCTCTCGTCTTTTCTAGGACCTTGGTTTGGAGGGCACCTCCATGAACGACATCTTGTACAAAAATGCTGCCTTCCTCAACCTGGTGGACCCCATCTCCCACGAACTGCTGCTCAGCTTGGCGCGAGAGATGCAGTGTCCTAAGAAGGTCAGTTGGCCCCTGTGGTCTGTGGCGTAGTCCCAGAAATGAATCATTGAATGCTGATGAAGGTTCTCCGTCATCCAGGTCATAGTCATTCCGTAAAAATTCAAATCCAGACATTTGAATTGAGAAAGCTTCCTGGAGAGGTGGCGAAACGTCTTCAAATCTTGAAAACCAAGTCCAGTGGATATTTTTTGAATTTTTACGGAATGAATCATTGAATATTTCTCTGAAGACCGACACGATCTGTTCTCCAAACAATCCCATCTGAAGCCGTTTTTTTCTGCAGACATATGTTGGATTTCTTCTAAGGTTCTGGAAGCAGGAGCAGCTTCCCGCTGAGCGCCTCAGATTGATTTCTTTGATGCATTTTTCACACCCAAAAATAGAGTGTTTGTTTAACCAGGTGCTGAATTCATATAATCCGGTTTTAGCTGCTGGAAAGGATTTGATCTTCTCCTCTAATGTGCTACAAGGTCAGAGCACACAGAGAAGGGGATCTGTGGAGGTTTTCTGTAAAACTCTGATGTTTTTAGATCCATTGAACCAGTTCTGTGTAGAAAGAAATATTAGTGTTTGTTCTTGTATCGTCCGATACATGGACGCATTCGCTGATTCATACACTGCTGCACCCGTCATCTGTTTATTATAAGGAAAGTTTATTTTTGTTGTAATTGGGACTTGTGTGACATTTGTGACATCACTTTGTCATTCTTAACACGTATTAAGGAAGGAAAATTAATATTGTCCAAAAAAATCCAGCAGCGGTTAGACTGATGACCGAATGTTTGGTATTGGCCTTTAAAAAGGGTGCTGGTTGATCTGTAACTTATGATCAATTTTCAGTTATCCGTTTTACTGAGGATGTCCTTGTATTTAAGTAGGAGAATTATATCAATCTATCAATCAATTGTTTGCAATTGAGAATTTTTTTTCAAACTGGTCCTAAAGGAAATTGCTCCATCAAACAGTATCTCTCTCCACTCACATCCAACATCCAATAATAGATTGCTCTCTGATAAATTAGACAAAAATAGAAACACTAACCAGATGTTTGAGTAGATAAAGATGTTGCAATGCATGATTTTAATATTTGCAGGCCATTTAAGAGAGTCAGGTAGAGATCCTGCAGCATGGCCAGCAGAGCTGCTGCACTGATTTTTCATGAAACATCAGATTAAATTCATAGCAGACCTTATTAGAGACATCATGTTTATTGAAAGAAAGGCTTAGATGTGACATCAGAGCTGTGCTGCAAATCGGCCAAAAAGCTTAATCAAGATTTTTCACTGAAGTTTTGCTTAGAAAACTGCTTTAGCTGCAACTTGGTTTCTTTCTGGATTGATTGATTGATTGATTGATTGATTGATTGATTGATTGATTGATTGATTGATTGATTGATTGATTGATTGATTGATTGATTGATTGATTGATTGACTTTATTGATCCCACAGTAGATATATGTAACAGCTGAAGTCTCTTATTTAGCTGGATTATTTTACAGGGTTAATGCACGGGGTGTTCACTCCCACAGACTGCCACTCTGGGTCCCGGAGCAAAGATCCTTAACCCCACACTGCTCCCTGGGCGCCGCACAATTGCAGCCCACTGCTTCCCTAGCGAATGGGTTAAATGCAGAGAGTGAATTTCTCCAATGTGAGATCAACAAAGTTCTATTATTATTATTATTTATTCATTTATTTTTTTGACTTTGGGAGAAGCTGGAGTACCCGGAGAGAACCCACGCATGCTCAGGGAGAAAATGCAAACTCCATGCAGAAAGACCCCGGGCAGGGAATTGAACCCAGAACCTTCTTGCTGCAAAGCAGCCTTTTTCTCATATGCCTTTAATCTCCCAGGCCTATTTGACATCACTGCCAAACAAGCTAACTGTTTGTAGACTATCTGTTTCAATTAATTTTATTTTATTTATATAGCACAATTAATAACAGGTTATCTCAAGGCTCTTTAGTCATATGGGTTAAACTTTTTTCATCTAAGGAAACCAGCTGCTTGCATCCAGTCGCTGTCTTTCACCCCACCATGGATAATGTGGTGACAGCAGAAATTCACACTTGTGACACAAAGAGCCATTTATTATTAATTCAAAGTTCCTAGAAACTTGGTTTGACTTAAAAAGTGAAGCATGAACAAAATATTTTACTTTACTCTTTCTGCTGCTGATTTTGTTTAAATCATCATACTTTTTGACAGTTCATTTTCAGAATAATTAACTTAGACTCAACTTTTTTTATCCCTTGGGATTATTCCTTCAGGGTAATGCTGCTTCCAGTAGCTTATATAAAGTACAAAGGGTGCGGTTAAAGCAAGATACCTTTAAAGATAACAATACAACAGACAATATAAAGTACAAAAAAGCACAAAAACTGTTGTAATATCCTGGAATATGTTTCCCTTCGATATAAAAATATCTGCACGGTAGTTGACTTGGATTATTGAACTTAAACTGCAGAGAAAATCTTAAACTGATCTTCTAATTAATGATCCTGATATTAAAGATTTGGTTTTTCTAAACTTTTCAGCTTCAATAAAAGAGGCATCTGTTTATCCATCATCTTCAGCAGGTGTCCCACATGTTTTTCCCCCACAGCTAATTTCCCCAGCTTTTAGCTGTTTATTCTTCCTCCTCTGCATGCTTCCTTCCCCTTGTGCCCTACATGTGATTAGATTGTCTTGCTCCAATAAGGCAGCCATATTGGGTTCCTACTCTGCATTCGCTCAAGGCATCAGCTCCAGCTCTGTTTTCCTTATCATGAGAAAGACGATGCGTGGCGACAGGGTTATAGAAACCAGGATAAATTTTCCACCATAGAATAGGCTGCAAAGATTGTTTGTTTGTTTTTAAGCTCTGACTGAAAGCCTCTGCTTCATGTTTATTTTATTCTGTTCTCTCCTGCAGGATGCAGACACCATCAAGTCTTCTGATAAGATCTGCAGACAGCTGATCTACCACCTGACCCCACACTCAAAGTGGCTGAGGCAGAGCATGTCCAGGCGGAAATCCCAGGCCTGGTAAGCCCTCATGTCCAGACATCCAGTCTGTAACCAATCTGCAGCTCTGCACAACAGAGAGCTGCACCAGGCCGGCCTCCCAGGACACTCATATCTCTTCTCATTGGCCCTTCTGTGGTATCAAATCAACTTTTTTATATTTTCATCAAGGATTCAAATGCATGTGCAAATAAATGAAGGATTATCTCTCAGAAAACAAGGCTAAAGGCTGATTTATACTTCGAAACTAGGTCATATGCATAGGTGTCAGTAAACGTAGAGACATCCCTGCCCCTTGCGCAGACAGGAAGCCTCTGATTGGTCAAATCTACCTCCGCTCTACACTATGCGTATTTCCTGTTTGGTAAACTTACCGGCTTCTTTTGTTTATCTGACCGCCATTGCGGAAAACGACTGGTGAAGATGGACCAGCTAGAAGAGCGAGGTGCGCGAGAACGCTGGGACCCTTTTTCCACCTGGATCCCCGCTCTTTTTCGCCCTCATGTCCCTCTATTGTAACAAACTTGCCCCCATTTCCTCACCACCGCGGCCATATTTAGACCCACAGCTAGTTCCTGATCGTCCCTCTTGCATTGTGGCGTGGAATAACAATAAAACAATAAGCTTCAATATTGGGCATAAATCAAAAATGTCTGCTAGAAGCTCACTGCGACACACTGCTGCAGAAAGATAACCAGCCCTAAAGAATCCCTCCAGCTTATGAACAAAAACATTTCCAGCTGTCTAGATGCTAAAATCGGGCATTCATATCACACAAATGAAGACAGTGCGTGTTTTGTGATATCCGACAGGTTCATTCTGAGTCGCTTGAACATCAGCAGGATCATAGAGTTAGCTGTCGGACTCTGAGCGCCGCTTTGTTGGGCTTGATTAAGCTCAATTCAGCCCCAGAAAAAAAGGATCAAAGATTCAACCGACACCCGCAGCGTCTTTGAGACTCGACATACATGGAAGCCATTGTTTAGCTGACAGCTTTTTTTTCCTCACTTAGTCATATTGACAGCTGCATAAATCTGCAGAGAGGCTGACAGGTTAAGAGTCAGCAGCAGAAACATGAGTCATTAACAGCAAGATCCTCCAGAAAACTAGTGGAGGGGAGGATGGGGTGGAGTTCTGCTGCTGCATCAGGGAACAAATGTCTGTCAGGGCTAAAACGATGAGATCAGATCAGTCTGCTGTTCTGTGTTTCCCTAACTCCTCCCTGAGTCAGAGCTTTACATTCATTAGTAGAGAAAGATCCACTGCCTCAGAAATCTTCATACTTTTTCCTGTTTTCCTGCTCCAGTCATAGAGGCCGTTATATGATAAAAACCTCAAGGTGGACGTAAGATTTGTGGTATGGATCTAGAAAAAACGGCATCATGCTTTAGTGTTAAAGCACAATGGAAAACAAGCTGTTAAAAAGTTTATTAGTTTTAGAGAAGATGCTTTGGTCCAACGACAACAGAACTGAACCGCTTGTTGTTCTTCTAAAACATTATGACAAGTAAAAACTAACACACAGCAAAAAAATTTAGTAATTTTTTTCTTAAAATAAGTGCATTTTTTTCTTGAATTGAGGAGATAAGTGAGACACTTTGCCAACGGAACAAGACAATCTACAGTTACAATATGAAAACTCTATTGCATTGTCTTATTTCAAGAGCATATTATCTAATTATCTTATTTTAAGAGTAAAAATACTCATAACATTAGCAAACTATCTCATTTACCCGCTCAAATTAAGGGTAGATACTGTAAATTTAAGAAATGTTTACTTATTTCTAGATCGTTTTTCCAGTGTGCTAACCTTGTTTTTTTCTGCCATGTTCCAGACGTCTTATGTAATGCCCTCATCATATACCGACCTTCAGGCTGTGCTGCTCTGCCATGCAGCAGAGCGTGATGGGAGCTATTTAGGTTCTAACTTATGGAGTTGATCCTGTGTTTATGTTTACAAGCAGAACAGTAAAATGTAAATTCTTAATCTTTTCTGCCTTTAAAAGAGTGTTAAAAGGCACAAAAGTGGGTGGGTGGGTGGGTGGGTGGAGTGGGGGGGGGGGGGGGGGATGATTGGGGGAAAAATTATACGACTGGCATAAAATCAAATACAAACAGCATGAAAATCAAACAACAAGCCAGTCCCATCTAGGCGTAATCAGAGACAATGACACATGAAGTGTGCTCCTGATGTCCAGTCTTCTCCGTAGCTTTGTTTTGGTCGCTGTAACTGCAGAAAATCACGCTTCACAAAGAGAGGATGTCCGCGGACCGGTGGTTGGGGACCCCTGCTCTAGTGGACGGCTGCAAAACTGCAAAGCTCACAGAAATTCATTCTAAGAAGATGTTAATAGTTCACCTGGTGAAACGTTTTTTTTTTTTTTTGTCTTTTTTCTTTACCTGTCACAAGTACAGAGCAACAATATGAACCCTCTGCATTTAACCCATCCTCTCGGGGAGCAGTGGGCTGGCACTGTGCGCTGTGGCATATATCACCCATGTGATATATTGGTGATGGCAGCATAATGCTGTGGGCGAAGAAGCTAGAAGGTCGGTCAGAATTGATGCAAAAGTAGATTGAGGTATGAGAGAAAACCGTTTACAGCAAAGGTTTTGGGACTGGTTTTGATTTTGACAACGATCCTAAACAAAGAGATTAAACTAAAATAAGAAGGTTTGGATCAGAGGTGCAACTAACAAATATTTTGCCTCCTAAATTTATCGTTAGATATTTTCTTTCAATTAATGGGATCAAAAATGGTGGTTTTATTCATGGTTCTTTGCAGAATTTAAACCTGTTGAAGTGAGGAGGCACATTATAGCGCTCGTTTATAGTCAAAGAAGATTTTTTATTCTGACTATATTTCAATAGCCAATGAATTAATAAATTGTTTCAGACTGTGTTTAGGTCAGGTCCAAATGTGAAGTTCCTGCAGAAGAACAGCAGCTATAATAGCAGCAAAGCTGATCTACAAACTCTTTACTCAGGGGAGCTGAATAGCTTTTTGATTTATTAGAAATACAATAATAGAGAACTCTACATCCTCTCTCTTAAGGTCCTGTTAAAATCCATTATTGCCTGCGGTTGTAATACGACAGTATTAATGCGTTTGTGAGGCACAGCAAGGCTTTTAAAGGGCTGCCATCTCTAATCCCAGCAGAAATGATTCAGAAAAACTTGGCCTCAGTTTTAGGTTGATGCTCTAATCGAGCTAATTCTCACGCTATTTGATAAATCATAAAAAAAAAATCTGTAATCCAAACTCAAACTAATTACACAGATTAACGGGATTACTGAGTCTCTGATGTTTATTCTGTCTATTTGGAGCGACGGGTGAGCAGAGTTAATGCTGGTTAATGATGAGATGATCCATCCGGCGGCGCCGCAGAGGGCCGCGCTGTTTGCCGGTCTTCGCCGTGCAGAGAGAGCATTCACAGGGTGGAGCTGCAGTTATTCATTTTTTTTCCATTTTACCCCCTAATAAGCCTTTAGTTTAGTCATAAAACCCTCAAACACTGAATAAACATAATCTCCACAAAATAATTGGACTGTTGGTTCGACCACATTCAACCCCTGCTGACAGTTTACTGATAGCTTTAGATTCCATTTAAGAAAATTAGTCCTGACAGAGACATTTCTGCAGGAAGCACATTTCAAACAGCCTCCCCTACTGGGTGCTGCTATGCACAAAGAGAGCAGCACTAAAAAGTGACAATAAAACAAGAAGGAACAGGTAGTAGAGCAGGTAACAGAGTCCTGGACTCAGGCAGAAAGTGTCTGAGGCATGAATACGATGAAACAAAATGTAATAAACCTTCACTGTTATCTTTAATCAGATTTTCATGTGAAAAATAGAACAGAATAGAAAATCCATTTATTGTCCCACAGTGGAGAAATTCTGGAGCTCTCCAGACTCCAGAGATGAGCTTTTCTGCATGTTCTAGATCTTCCTTCCTGGTAAAACGAGGGGGGCTGAAGCTAGCCTGAGCTAAAAGCGTGTTAATTAGAGACTAATTATTAGAACCAGCTGTATGAGAACCAGAGACACACCCAAAACATGCAGCACAAAGAGATGGGATTACCTTCTGTTATTTCAAAAAAAAAATACAGCTTATAGAATAGAAAATCCTTTTGTTGTCCCACAGTGGGGACATTCTGGTGTTTACATCTAAAAAAATATTATAGTAAAAATTGTCACATAAATGTGGACCTTAAAACATTTTTATCAGAATGACATACTAGCGAATATATAGAAAATACTGTACTGTAATCAAACAATATTAATTTGTACCTATTCATTTTTTTTAAAGACATGAAATACTAAACTATGTGCAGAAATGTCTATGGATCCAACCACCCAGGTGTGTTGCATCACTGAGTACATGTTTCAAGGCTTTGCTCTAAGTTATTGTGTAAATTTAAGATATTTTTCTGTCTGCCTTCTCTGATTTGTTTTGAACTTTTAACATCAGATTTAAAACTTACAGAATTAATTGGCAAAACAGTTAATAAAACATGGAAAACATTTAAAAGTCTGATACAGTGCAGTCTAATGCTACGTTCAGACCAAAAGCAGCGGAGGCAGCAGGAGCAGCTGGTTTACATGCAAAGTCAATGGTTGACGCGCATCAAAGCAAAAGGTCCCGCAGCTGGTTTTTGAGCAACAGGAGCAGCGCGTCATGAGCTCCTGAGCGTCTGATGTGAGAAACGCGCTTCAGAAGACGCAGCTGCTGGAGTTGGAAAAATTAAACTTTTGCTGCATGATGCGCCACATCAACCTATCAGAGAAGCTGATCTGGGAGCTGGCAGGGAGACAGACAAAGCTGATGCAGGTCACTATGATCACTCCTCTTAAACTGTTTATTAATGCCTAAATTAACTTCAAATGTCGGAAAACTGCCAGCAAAATATGTTCGATTTTATTATTTTGGTGCCTGCGAACAGTAGCAGAAAACCGCAAAGAGGCGACCGGGCCAGAGGCTGCTGTTGAACGGGATTCCCAATGACTGAGCACAAAGTGTTCGTGGGTCTGAGCGGCTCCGACAGCTAAATAATATTTAAAGGCAGGATCATAATCTGGATGAACTGACTGCACAGATAAATTTTTCCAGAGGACTTTCTCACTTAAAAACATATAAAAACTACTTTTTACCCGCTGATCACAGCAAATATAGCTGCCATTGTTACAGGCAAAGAAAGGCTAGAGTAGCTCCGCACAATGTGCATCAGACCCAATTTTGCCACTGTGCAGCGAGATCAGTAAAGATGCTTCAGCGACGCATCAGAACTAAACTGGTACAAGCATCAAAAATGAAGCAGCTTGCGCGTTTTTGCTGCTCCTGCTGCGTGCGGTCTGAATATAGCATTAGACCTTCTGATGTGACTATAGGAATGTTTGCCCAACTCTACACATAGGGACGGTGTAGAGTTTGGCTGTCCAAAGTTCTGCCCGGGGGCCATATGTAGCCCTTAGAATGACATTGTGTGGCCCCAAACAACGGGCCCAGGATGATTTAAATTAGACATTTAGTGCAGAAAAGATAGTTTTATTAACACATTTTTATCAAATGTTAGCTAAAACACAAAATTCTCAGATGGCCAATATTAGAGCATAAACCGTCTGTCTCTATAAAATCAGAGAGAGATAGATTTGTATAAATGGGATGCAAATTATTACACCACCCTTGTTTTCTTTCCAAAAGGCGCCTTAAAGAAGATTTTATACAGACTTTGGAAAGAACATGTTCATGGACAAAACAGTTTTTTTTTTTATCTTGTTTGAATGTAAATGTTTGTATATTTTTTCCTATATTTTAGCATTAACACTTATTTCAGTGGGTTAGTCTTTTAGCTCATGGCGTGTGTTAAAGTCTTCACATTACTGTTAATGATTATTTTATTGCCTAATTAGTTTATTATTGTTGTAATAATACAACAATCACAATAAATCAGATATTTCCTTTTTTCCCTCTTTATATCAACAAGCAGGTAGAAGTTTCACGCGTGGGTTTCTTTGTTTGATACGGAGGAGGATTAGGGCCACTGAAAAAAAAAAAAAAGTTAACTGATTTTTAAATTTTAATTCAGTTTAGTATGGGAAAAAAGTCAGAATTCTGACTTAAATCTCAGAATTCTGACTTTTTTCTTAGAATTCTGTGATTAAAGTCAGAATTCTGACTTTAATCGCAGAATTCTGACTTTTTTGTCTGAATTCTGACTTTCCGATTAAATTCCGATTAAAGTCAGAATTCTGACTTTTTTCCCATACTAAACTGAAAAAAAATTAAAAAATCAGATAACTTTTTTTTTTTCAGTGGCCCTAATCCTCTTCCGTAGTTTGATGATCTTCAAAGTTTGATTAATATTTCAGGACTGTTTAGTGGATCAGTTCTCACTTCTACTCCCATGCATAGATTTGACATTAGCTGCAACATTGCGCCCCCTAAAGGCCTGGAGTCAGAAAGTCTTATCCCTGTTAAATGTAATTTGACCAAACTTAAGTACTTCTGTGATTTGAACATTGTGTTTTGTAAACTGTGTTTATATTGAAAATTAATTTAATTGCCCAACTCTTATAAAACTGGATATTAATGAACTTGTTTTAATATAAAGTTAAACTTGTTCATCTCCAAGGAACAATTTTAACATCAGTATTTCAGTAGTTTTGCATATATGAAGACTGATGATCTTCCAGAGGCTCTCGCTGCGTTCACGTACACTAAACTGGTTAGAATGTAAATTAGATTTTAACATTCATCTGTTATCAGACTGTGGTTTTAGCTTCAGCTCAGGGATGGTTGATAACCAGCATCTCCACAGACATCGATCTTATGCTCCTTCAGCATAGTCAATAAAACCCAGCGACATTACTGCCTCCCTTTGGGCTAAAGAGACCAAATAACATGATGAAATGCCTGCAACACATGAAAGAAACCGGTAACCTGCCTATGGTGTCGCCCCTGTTCTCTGGTGCGAGGATGGATGATTCTGGACAGATCACCTCAGGCAGCATCATCTTCCTCACAAAAACACTGACCTGTCTGAGAGCTGTGATCTGAGCTATTAGCACCTGAGGAGTAACGCTTTTACATGGCTGTCACATGAAAACCTACAAGGACCACACTGACACCGTGTAAAGGATAAAACCTGGAAAACACCGGCTCTACTGGCATGTTTTCTTCCTTTTTCCCTTTTTTTTCCCTGTTTATGCGGCAGAGAAAATGCTGCTGAGGGAGTGGCTATTTTCAACGTGACCAGAAAAACACATCAAAGCATCAGAGGAGACAGGTACTGCTGAGGACGACACCGTAAGTCACCAGGCAGCCGAGGATGCTTTAATTTACATTGACACATGCAGCAGAACCGCAGTTCAAATTCAACACTCTGGATCCTCCCTGGTGGGCCCAACCGGGTGGAGACCTGAATAATGAATATGACTTTACCTGCAATGTACATCAATAATATTCTATTGTAAATCAATCCAAAATTTTGTTGGGCATTTTTTTATTTTATATTTTGAGCAACAATAATGAAAACTGTCTTTAAAACCGCATTTTAGCCAGGTTTAATGATTGTGCACTGGACTGTTTTTAGAGAAAAAGTTGCTTGACGTTTATGTTCCTGCTTTGAAATTAAACTAAACAACAAAAGAAAACATGAATTATTAGAGAAAAATATTCTCCTATTTAAAAAAAGATCTAAAAATGACAGAAGAACTCAACAGATTAGTATCACACTTGCTCTTTGGGCCAAACTAAGGCTACGGCAGCCTGAAGTAACCCAAATTTTTTTATTTTTTTTTTATCTGATCTTTTCATGACAGTCTGAACAACACAGATCTAAATTTTTTCAAATGCGACCCAGGCCACTTGGCTATGTGGTCCTGAATCCGATACGAATCTGATCGTTTCAAATGCGACCCGTCTGAACCGGCAGATTATTAAGAAAAAAGTCAGAATTCTGACATTATAGTCAGAATTCTGACTTTTTTCTCAAAATTCTGACTTTAATCTCAGAATTCTGACTTTTTTCTCAAAATTCTGACTTTAATCTCAGAATTCTGACTTTTTTTCTCAGATTTCTGACTTTTTTTATTGTCAGAGTTCAGTCAGAATTCTGAGATTAAAGTCAGAATTCTGAGAAAAAAGTCAGAATTCTGCAACTAGTTTCTAAACTACTATTCCAGAAGGTGGTAACCTCCATGTGGCGTTTGAGCCTTTTTGATTCTCCTAATAAGCACCACCTCTCAAATGTTTCGCCAATAGTTTTTTTCTACCATTTTGCATCTTGTTTTTTTAGTCTGCGTATAAGAAACTCTAGTATCCTAGTATCTCTACCGTGGAGCTGCTAGGCAACGCCTGAGCTTCATGTCACATGACTACCTACTAATTTAACGTGTTAATGTTGGCATCATAACCAGAAGTAAATATTTATTTAGTCTGAGCTTCATTTTTTAGAAAAAGTTGCATTTATGAGCTTTATGATGTCAACTTTATTAATTGAAAAACCAAATGACATTTAGTTTCTGTTCCTAATAAGTTGAAAGATTTTAAGGATTATTTTCTTTATATCTCTGCAGTCTGAAGACGACTCTACAGAAGAAGCTGTCTAGTGAGAGCGTGGACCTTTCTGGGATCCCCCTGTCCAGCCGCGATGTCCGACAAGTGGCCTTCTACCTCCAGAACAACGGAGACAGCCTGGTGGCCGTGGACATCAGCTTCACCGAGCTGACCGATGACAACCTGCGTCTGCTGCTGCCTCTCCTCGCCTCGCTGCCCAAACTCAGCACCCTGGCTCTCAACGGCAACCGCCTCACCTTGGCCATCATCAAAGACCTCTCTGAAATGCTCAAGGACCCTAAGATGTTCTCCAGCCTGGCGTGGATCGACCTGGGGAACAACGTGGACATTTTCACCATGCCTCAGCCGCTGCTGGTGGCGCTGCGCCGCCGCTGCAGCCTGAAAAGCAGCCTGCCGACCATCTACGAGTACACAGAGGGCCAGCCTTACTCCTACCACCTGGAGACCTCCATCGAGGAGCCCAGCCATTACGAGGAGGAGGAGGAGGAGATCGATGAGGACGAGGAAGATATGGGGGACAGGTTTGAGCTGGAGCCGTGGGGTTTGGGGGACAAACAGCTCTCTAAACCGTACCCCCTCCACTGCTGCGAGAGGTGATGGAGCGTTTCCTGTCCTACCAGATTCCAGCTGTGGTTGAAGCGACGTCCCGCAGCTCTCTGTTACCTCCTTCACCCTCTTGCCCTCACACCACGAGACCAGTCACCCTTTAAAGGCAACGAGGGGGAGCAGCGCCCACATTGTGAACTAATCGCCCAAACACAGCTGCTAAGCTAACCTTTACCATCTCTGAGTTGGACCCACACCGGACGGCGGCCTGACGGCAGACTTACTGTGTTGCTGGATGGTGCTTTGGGGGAAAAGATGCGGTTTCATTGGAGGTTGTCTGGAAGAGTCAAAGAACCAGTTTTCTCTTTTTCTCTCTCTGTCTCTTTCTGTCCCTTTATCCACGTCTAGCGCTTCATGTCTCGATCCACAGGAGACGTCAGTCAGTTGGTCGGACGAAGGAGCGGCATCCCTGGGGGATTCTGGGGCCACCTGGAGTGAATTTTGGAAACCTGTGGGTCCTCGTGGCGTCTCTGCCAGGACTGAGACTCTGCCTGTCAGGCAGGGCCTAACTCCACATTCTGTGTTCTCTGTTAATCTCCCAACAAAAGTTCAACAGACTCTACAGCCAGCGACCGTCACGTGGCGCTGGCAAAACTGCTTGGTCGACTTTTTGCGTCCCCCCCTCCCCTCTTTCCTAGTGTCCACTGGTGAATGTCCATTTGCAGATGGAAATGAGGACACAAACAACACAGATGTTTTGTTTCCTGACGTTTTTTTGTTGTTGTTGTCCCCTTAGAGGACAAAGCGTCTCAGAAGACAACAGGTAGGAGAGAGGGGTGTTTTTCTAACCACATAAAAGCTGACATCACTGCTCTTTAGGGTCATAGCCACAGTATTTCAACACGGGTCAGAGAAAGGGGCCAAACTGACCTCCTACTGCCGTCTGCCTCCACAGGTTTTGACCTCTTAGTGTTGCCGTAGATCTGTGTTATTAGGCACTTTCTTGACTGTTATCTACTCTAGTCTCTCCGCAGTAGCATAAAACCATCTCAAAGGCCGACCAGAACACTGCGAAGCACTTTAAGGCCCTGATGTTTAGATGTTACTCTTTCTCCAAAGGCTCCATATAGTCTGTGCACATTGGTTCCTCCCTGCAGGAGCTTCATTCAGATGATTGTTAGAGGGATCAATATGAAAATAAGCTCACCTGAAGTATAACAAATGTTCTCTAAGTGTTCTTTGTGTATTTGTGTCGGTAAACGGTCTAAATGTTGTTTTGTCTCTTGTCTGTTTCTGTATTTAATTGTATTTAATGAGGAAAAACTATAAAAACTGAGCCTGATCAGGTCCTGATGATCGGATCCAACAGATGACGGAATGTTTTATGGTTTTACGCAATAATCCAGCAGGTCGCTCTGTAAATGTCATCCAAAGCAGAGGATATTTAAGTTGAATGTTTGAAATTGTCGTTTTTTGCCTTTTATCATGTTTTTACAACCCAGGGCAGGACTGGCCATTACCCAACGCCCGGGGGGCCAACGCCCATTTGTGGGTGGGCCCAGGGCCTTCATAATGTAATCTAAAATGTATTTAAAGTTAACTATTATATAAAATAATTTATCAATTAACCAAATTATAATCTAATCAAAATGTTTTGAAATGAATTATATACCTTAGAAATATTCAGAAATATTCTCCATGAATAAGTAATTTCTTACATTTTCCATTTTGGTCTTTTACAATGCCGAAATTTAAACAAAAATTTAGTATTTGTTTGATTGAATATTTCCTTTTAAATAATTCAGAGGATATGATCAGTGACTCATTTTACCTAGTTTTTAATGTTTATTTCTTTTACTATATATTCATTTATGAAACCTCTCAATGTTTGTAATCTCATCTGTCTTGCTGGGCCTCTTCCCCATAGAATATAACTAATCATGGTGGGCCGACCCAGTCTGGTCCAGTCCAGTCGAGTCCAGTCCTGTTACAACCACAAACTTTGTTGGATTTGTTTGATTTTATCTGTCAGATAAAAAGAAAAAAACAGGATTTAAAAATATTTAAGCAATTAAAATCCAATGTAACAGAGTTAATGCATATTTTTCTTGCATGGGTGGTTCTAAACAGGGGCTATTGGGGCCACTGCCCCTATAGAACCGATCCAGGGCCCTGTTGTTGCCCCTGTACTGAAGGCATAATATTGCATTTTTCATTTTCATTTTAGTTTTTTCGCTAATTCAACTATTTTTAGTTTGTTTTTAGTAGTTACTAATATGTTATTAAAGCTTAGTTTTAGTGTAGTTTTAATAAGTTCCAGTACTAGTTTTAGTTTTGTCTTTGGTTAATTCTTAGGCGCAGGATTCAAAAAGTTTAAAGCATTTTAATCATAAAATTTAAGCATTTAAGCTATAAAAACTCAACACAAGATGCCTATTTTAAAGAACTGGTTCCCTTACAGTGGCCTTTGAAGAGGTCCTGTGGAAAAAAACACAAATGCAATACTGGCAATGTTGATTTCATCAAGATCAGTTTTACCTCTCCTTGTTAAAGCTGATCTAGAAACATCAATGTCTCTAGAAGCACTCAAACTCAGTCCGATTGAAAGGAGAATTTCAACAAATATCAGCTTCCCCAGCAGATTTTAGCAATTTTACTGTATGAATTAATCTGAACCATTTGATTGCAGCTGCTTGAAGATTAACATCTGCCCCACATCATGATACTGCCACCACCATATATAACAGTTGGAAGGGATTGTTTTAGATGATTCCTATCCTACGCAGTGTTACATGGGTTGGTTGCCCAACCAGAACTCCTTTGTCATGTTTGCTTTGAGGCTTAAGAGGATAATTTAAAAAAACGTCACACTTTCTAAGATCGATGTATAATTTTTATTTATTTATAGTCGTAGGTGTTCATACAAACACAGGCTGTAAAATACAAACTTAAAGCGCACATAAGGAGGAGAGGAAGAAATTACATTTTAAATTAAATAAAAACAAGAATCGATTTAGTTTGTCACTGCCTTCTTGTTTTTTTTTCTTTTTCAAATTAAGTGCTTTATTTTCCTCTATCAGCTAAATTCACACTAATATGCATTAAAGTTTGTGGTTCTAATGCATAAAGATTGGAGGTTTATGAATATTTTGTGAAGGCGCTGCGGCTTGTTTTCGTGTGTCAGTGTGGTCTGTGTTTGTACCTTATGTCTCCTTCCACCCAATGACTGCCAATAAAAGAAGCTGACCAAACTGAGCTCTCTGGAGGTGTCTTTTGTTTTTGTTTTTTTCCTGGTATTTTAAACAGATTTTATGTAGCTATTTTACTGGCTGCGTCACAGTATGAACATGCAGCAAGATACAGGAACAAGCAGGTGATTGATTTATGCAGATCAACCAGGACATTTGGTAATAGGAGGCAGGTTTGGAACATGCTGTTCTGGCGCCGTATCAGGAAAGCTGTGTGTGTTTGTTATTCAGAGGAGCGAGTCTGTCTGCTGTCGGGGAAACGCCTGAGCTGCAGCCGCTTGCTGGGGAAGGGCACGGTGGTCGCTGCATGAGGCCCTTTCCATGATCCCCCACCATGACCTTTTGTTCGTGCTGCCAGACATGGTAATGTGGCATTTGCAACAGGTGGCTCCTCTAAGGTCAGGGCACAGTGTGATTGTCCCCCCCCCAACCCCACCCACAGAAGTCCAAATATAGTTAAACAAGGCAAGGCAGCCCACCCTAAGAAATCACAAAGTTTGTATTATTTGACCTTTCCGTTCCAGAATCTGTATATTTTGGTTTTACCTCTAAAAAGTATTCATTTCCTAAATGCTTTTAGTGAAGCTGACGTTGGTGCAGACCTTTGAGCCACACCGATTCACTGAGGGGAACCTGTCTGTCATCAATTAACCAGTCTTTCTCATGGTATTAAGGCTAAAATATCACATCTTAATTCTATAAGCAAATTCATACATGTTCAAGTATTTGATAAGTTGTTCCTCAAATATCCATGCACTGTTTTGTATTTTATATGTACCTTTTGAACAAACACCAAAACAGTCATGCCTAAGGTCAGTGTAGGAAGACAATTTAAACCAACATGCATGTTTTCAGACTGTTGGAGGAAACTCCCTTTTAACAGGAAGAAACCTCCAGCAGAACCAGGCTCAGTGTGAGCGGCCATCTGCTGAGGCCAACTGGGATGTTAAAGAAGAGACGATATAAAAATGCTTTGAATATCAGAAAATGTAGCAATAATCTAGCTCTGTCTAGAAAAAAAACTTATAAGCAGGGTCTGAGCCAGTTTTTACATCAGATGAAAGAGAGCACATCCACTTAGTTTCAGTAAAAGCGGAGCTTTCTATGTCTAAGACAGAAATAGGGCTAAGCACTGAACAAAGACCCAACCCTATAATTTCCAACCATAGGTGTTGATTGCAGCAGCACAACTGGTATTTCTCTCCGGGATGACATCACAGCCAAACAGACCAGATAAAGGTACTATGATGAGAAAAAGCAGAGACATTAGAGAGGGAACTAACAAATATTGGAGAATAGAAATGAAATGAAGCAAAATGAAGTAAAGTGGTCCCTATGTCCTCCAGACGCTTAAGCCTATAGCAGCATGAATATATAGAAGGCTCTGAATAACCTGAGCCACTCTACTGTACATTTTGTCAAAAAGGAAAGTTTTAAGCCTAGAATTAAAAGTCGACAGGTTGTTTGCCTTACAGACTAGAACTGGTGCTTGGTTCCACATGAGAAAAGCTTAATATACTGTTAGGGTTGTTAAGTTTCCCCAACTTTAACCTATAAAGAAAGAAACAAAGACAGTGTAAGATTTTTCCTGACTGTGCTTTGCAAAGGGAAAATACACAGAGCTTTGGGATCACTGTGCATCTTTGTCTTGCTCCACGCTTGCAGGCTTATTTATTGAACAGTCAACACATTACAACAGCAGGTCTTAGTTTCGATTACGCAATCTCTTAGACATAGCATGAACTTTTAAGATAGGGAACATGTCTGGTTTCAGTATACGCTTTTAAAAAAGGTGTCGGGGGTCATGAACTTTTAACTTCTGTGCTTCTCAAATGAAAAACAGAAAAGCATTCTAACAAACATTTGACAGTCTTATGACCTGCATACACTATTTCCACTGATTAGAGTAACATAGCAAAAATGATTAAAAGCAATATAAAAGATATAAATGAATAAAATGATACAAACAACAGAAATCATAATAACTCCAACATATACATTTCCTGTTCCCTGATAAAAAAAAAAAGAATTTTTAGAATTAACATTTTTTGCAAAGATATCATTAAGAACTAAAGACTTAAATTATATAGGCTGTTAAAAGAAATATAATTTTTAGTACTCACTGACGTTGCCCATTGATTGTGTCTAAGCTTTGTAACAAGGCTTTTTTCACCAATTAATTTATTTACAAACTTCACTTTTAAATTATCTGATGAAAGACACCCCACATTTATCTTAGGTGTGTTTTCAGCCAAATACAGGATTTGTTGCCTATTTTCTTAGAAAGAAAATATGCTGATTTCCTATAAATAGCTTTTAGCCTTGTCTTTTTACCCAATTTTGATGTTTATTACATAGGCTATTTTTTCTTTTAAATACTGTTTATAGTTGAGGCTATGTGCAACACTGTATTTCAGCTGTTTTAAGGTGCTTAGGATATAATGTTGGCAAGGTAGGATTTTTATGCGGCAAAAAAATAAAAGTTTCCCGAGTCAGTTGTAGGAACCATGGTAGGTTCGTTAGAAAAGGTGGTGAGAGAAGGAGGAGATGGGGTGGGATGAAGGTTCAGTTGGTGTGCAGGAGGAAAGCTGAACAAGAAGAGCTAGGAAGGGGATCTTGAATGATCATTAGCTTTGGTCCCGACGTCAGGTGGCCTGAGCTTGTATGTGGGATACCAGCAGGTGGTGCAGGTGAGGCTGATAACTATATAAGAATAAGCAGTACTACAAACCCCTACAGCTTAGTTCAGCCGCCGAGTTTCTGCATGTGGTTGTTAGACTTCATGCTTTCTATGCAGATTTCAGAACTGTGCGGCTTAGATAACACTAAATTTACTTATTTTATTACGTTCTGTAAATATGTTTTTACAGTTTTTGTGGGGTTTTTTGTTGGTGTTTTTGTTGTTGCATTGGTTGCTTTCTATTGTTGTTTGTGTTATGATAGAACAAATTAATTTACTCTTATGAGTAATAAAAACAACTAAATCAAGCAAGCAATCAATCAATCAATGTTTTATTGCAGCAAATGAAGGAATAACCAATAAACAAGAATAGAGCTAATTAGAAAAATTGCAGCCAACAGCAAACATTATGGATTTCCAGAAACCTTCTTATTCACACATATTAAAGGAAAAGTTCGGACATATTCAGAATACAAACTTGAAACTATTACATGTTTTAACTGTTTTTAATTCAGAGTCATTTTCATCTGAATGAGCTTTACTGGAGGCATCCATGTTTGTCAAAGAACACTACTGCCACCTACTGGTTTGTGACGTCACGGTGCGGTATCGGCTGTTGATCAAGTCCCAGTGCTGTATCTGGTGTTTGTCACAACGTGCTATTATCCAAGTCATCTTGAAAACATTCTTCTTCCAAATGTTGGCTACATATTACAGGTTTTTTCTCTGGCCAGAAGTTCGATGGCAAATCCTCCCTCTTCAAGTTGGCGATCCAACGACCAACCCGTCCGTGGAGGATCAGGAATCAGAAAGGTGGAATAACTCTTTATTTTCACTTTTTCCCGATGTATTCCAGCATCCAGCTGCCATGCACGTGGGCATTGTCAGTTTCACTATAGCTCTGGTGAATTTCAATGGGGAAGTCCTCTGGAAATCTTCAATAATTGTTGTTGATTGCAGATGTGTCTAGTAGTTCCCATTGATTTTGCTTGTAAAGCGGGGAGAATGGCGCTAGGCTTACCGCACCGTGACGTCACTGCTGGAAGATGGCAGGAGGGAGGGGTTACTGTATGTGGGCAAAAATGGCCGCTCCCAGACTGACTGATTATGACGAAAATGATTATTTTTATTTTTTCACTGATTAACGCTACATTCATTAAATCACTGTGAACGTATTAGTTTCAGGTATAAATAATGATCCATTGGTTATTCCTTACTGACCGGACTTTTCCTTTAAACGTAATGAACCAGAGCTAAGATGGACCCAACTATGTAGAAGGGCAAGTGGAAGAAAACAAAATGACCTTAGAACAAGGTTACAACACCGGAGCACCTATGAAGAATAAAAGAAAACTAAAGGGTATATAAGTGGTTGGTATCATGAGCAAAACGCTGGCAAGTAAAAAAGGAAGAAAGACATCAGCTGAACGTGACTAAAGAGGAAAAACAACTAAACGATAACGATCAAAACTAAAGAGATCTTACAAAAGGAACCTGACATTAAAGAAAGTAAATTAAAATAAGATAAATAAGATAACTAAAGATTAACTAGAGCTTGAAAAGATGGCTAAAAACTACGACTATAGGAAAATTACCTAACACTACAGACCCAAACAGCAAAATCAATAATAGGCTAAAGATAAGCTCAAAATACAAACTAAACAATAATTAAACCTTTGATAAGAGAAAAAATACCAAACATAAGATCAAAAGACTCAAAACAGTCCCAAATCATGACACCTAAATACATGTAAAGATTACGGACTTAATTTAATACTATATAGATAATAAGTAAATTTTTCCACGTAACCAAATCACATTAAGGAAAGGCAAAAAAAAAATAAAATGAGTAAAATCTTTCTCTATGGTACCAGCATGTTACAGTCTGTGTCTTCTCAGCTCTATCAGTAACAGGCAGACATATTAAAACAAAAAAACAAACCGGTTTTATCATATCTTGTTCAGTGTGCGCTCTGGAACAACTGACACCTTCTGCTGCAGAACGATCTGGTTTATTTTCAGGAAATCTCTATAACCTGCATTACTGACTGGAGGTATTAATAACCAGCTGCTTTACCATCTTTCCTCTTATCAGACTCTGCAGAGATTTTCCCCTCCAATTTCCAAACAGCATTAACCACATTGTAGAATGTTGTACAATTGTCCCGACATTGAATGATGGTACATGAGTTTTCAGGAGACCTTACATCACCCCCAAGTTTTTTAAATATTTCCTGAGGAGGATAAAGGAAAAATAAGATGAGGTTAATTATATGCAGTTTGTTACCTGACACCTGAAAACTTAACTTACCATACTAAATTTGTACTCCAACTTCGTTGTGTTCGGTTCACTTGGATCAACATATAAAACAGGGGTGTCAATAGCCTCCTTAAGGCTATTTCCAGGCCAAAATAAGTTAAGTAATGCCTGCAAGAGACGAAAACATACTGCTGTAAATATTTGGATTAGAGTGAGTTTGCACAAAAGCTCCAATCTATCAATATCCCAAAGAAAGAGTTCCTTTATTTAATAGTCTTGCTGAGAAAAAACTTTATTTTACATGTGACTTTGTACCTGACTTTCAAAATGTGCTGAATACAGACACACAAACTGGACCTGCAGTCAGTTTAAGGTTAAAAAAAACAAAACGCATTTCTATTACCCAGACGTGGAAAGAGTACTTAAAAATTGTAATTGAGTAAAAGTATCTTTACTTTGCCTAAAGTTTACTTAGAGTAAAAGTCAAATTTGCCATCTTGAGGTTTACTCAAAAGTACAAAACTACTTCATTTAAATTGTAATTTGAGTAAAAGTTACTTAGTTACTTTGAGTAATTTGATGCAAAAAAAGGATGAGTCATGAATCGAATTGAGGTGTTTTAATCGATTTCAAGACGTATTTCAGTGGACATCCACACTTGCAAAAGATCATCTGGGCTAAGAAACATACGCAGCACAAGGACAGTCACAACCTGTGCCATAAAGTGCAAACAATTTTCAATCATACTGACCAACAGACTAGCCTCGTGAGACCATCCTGATCTCGCGAGCCTTTAAGGTTTCACTCGCTAATCAGTCTGGAGACTCTCCGTTAAAGAAAATTTGGAGCCGTTCACCAAACGAACGTCCAATCAGCGTTGGCTTTGAGGCGGGTTGAGGTGTGACGAACGAGAAGCGAGACAGTTCAGTCTAAAGAACATGGCGGCTTCAGCCGATGAAACTAGCGTTAGCGTGGCTATCGAGCAAGTTTTATCGGAATTACAGAGTATTTCTTCAGTGAAAGAAGAGCAAAACACTGCTCTGGAGGCTTTTCTCAGAGGAAAAGATGTTTTTGCTCTTCTCCCGACTGGTTTCAGCAAGAGTAGCCTGGCTTGTGGTTGTGTTTTCGTCGTCGCTCTGTTAGTACGTCATATGCTTCGTTGATCTGATTGGTTTATTTGGCCCGTCTATCACCAACATAGGCCAATCAGCTAACCAGAATTTTCACCCCTTCCCAAAATTACTTCAACGGAAGGTTTCCAGATGGATATGTGAGCAAATCCAGCAAATCCATCTGGCGGAGTCAGGTTACCAACAGACAACACCATGATAGGAATAAAGAAATTTAAACTACATTTTAAAGTATTCAAAATGCACACAAAATTAATTGCCCAAAAGATACCAGAATGTGTTTCCTCTTCGGGCCTTTCCTCATCCATACTCTCTACATCGTGATTAGCAACTGCCATATTCCAAAGCGCAGCACTGGATTATGAGACAATACAAAGGGTAATTGCAAGGCAGGGCCACGCAAGTTATAAATTCCGGCCGCATAAAATTTTTTCACCATGAGTTTTTTTTTTTTTTACTCAGTAATATGACAGGGTTTTAAATGTAGCGAAGTACACCTACTTAGGTTAAAATTTACTTGAGTAAAAGTAAAAATTACATATTTCAAAAACTACCCAGAAAATTACAAATAACTCATAAAAAGTACTCAATTACAGTAACGTGAGTAAATGTAATTCGTTACTTTCCACCCCTGCTATTACCTCATGCAAGTACTTTGTACAGTATATCACGATATCAGCATATATTTTGTATCTTCATACGTACAGATATGCTAAATGAATTGCACCTGCAGTGCTGGGCTACAGGATAGGTTAGTGGATCAGTTTGCATGTTTTATTCTTTCCTTTCAAGTAAATAATAATCAGATCGGGCCTTCAGCCATGGCTACTTACAGAAGCCAACCCCGTTGTGATCATTTTCCCTCCGCTCCCTCCAATCACCAGCAGATTTGATTTAGACTTCAAAATAGAGGGAGCCATGGAGGAGGGGGGCCTCTCTCCTAGAAAAGAAAAAAATAAGCTTTCAATGACAGCACAAAAAACTTCAATTCAGACTGACAACGTTTTTATCAAAATGAATGAATTGCAAATTTCTCTGCTTTTGAAATGTTTTATGTCGCAAATGTTTTTCCACCTAATTTCATTTTTTTCCTTTTTAAGACCTAACATATTGGCCGTCATATTTGACAGCTATAGTTTTCCAAGATACAGTTCCAAGTTAACAGTACATGAGTCATTATACACTGTGATACATGATGCTCTTTTCAATCTAAAGGCACAAAATATATATTTTTTCTCATCTGTAAATCATTCTTTCTCTAATTTAAATAATTTCTTAGTCAGCAGCTCTAGTCACATTACTGTCAGTGATCATGGTCCTGTCTCTAAGAAATTAATAAAGAAAGTTTTCAAAATAAAAGCTAGATATTTAAATATCATAGTTTGAAGATTTAGATCTTATCAAATATTTTATAGAAGCAGAGTGTATATTTGGAGTTTTATGAACTCCCCGCAACATCAGTATCTGTGTTCTGAGAGGTGAGGGAGGCAGGGATGAGAGGTAAAAATAATCTTATTCCCATTAGAGCTATCTCTATAGTTATGCTGCTATAGGCTTAGACTTCTGGAGGACATAGGGACCCCCATTTAATCATTCTGCTTCATTCTATCTCTATTCTCCCACTCTGCAGAATCTGTTAGTTCAATCTCTAACGTTCTGCTCTCTCTGCTTTTTCTCATAGTAGCTTCATCTGGTCTGTTCCTGTTTGGCTGTGACTCCATCCTGGAGAGAAATATCAGCTGTGCTGCTGCCATCAACACCTTTGTTTATAGATGCTGGAGATTGGCCGTTTTCCAGTGTAGTCCTGTTTCTCTGACTGTGACTAGAGGGATGTGCTCTCTTCATCCTCTGACATGGGAGCTGGCTCGGAGCTCGTCTGCCTGGCTGTGTGTTTCCTGGACGGACTTTTACAGCTGCTTTTTCTATGTCTGCTTCTGTCTCCTTGAACCCCAGTCGGCCTCAGCAGATGGCCGCTCACACTGAGCCTGGTTCTGCTGGAGGTTTCCTCCTGTTAAAAGGGAGTTTTTCCTCTCCACTGTCGCTACAAGCATGCTTATAGTGAGGGATTGCATTCGAGTCAACAAATCGATGCAATCAATTGGTTTTCCTTAGATAGAAAACTTTGAACCAATCTGACTGGATGATCTGGTGAACTGGAAACTGCCTTGAGATGACATGTGTTGTGAATTGGCACTATAGAAATTATCTGAATTGAACTCTACTGCTGGCTTGGTAACTCACTCCTGCAGACTTGAGCATATTTCCCCGATACTGGTGCCCCTTCACTAGCTCCCTGTTTATTACGTAATTAATTTTACGCTGCTGTTATTGGTTTTTAAATATCTAAACGACTTCCACAATCTCTATCTGAGCTGCTGCTGCCTTAGTGCCTACCACCATCACTCACCGTCCCTATAACTAGGCCGGCTCAAAGGGGGTGAAGCCTTCTCTGTAGCAGCTCTTACAAAGTGGAATTTGTTGCCTTTAGGTGCCTCCTATTATCCTGTTTTTAAATCTCTTATTAAAACAAATAATTTTTTCCTTAGTTTGTTACACTATGATCTAATTTTGTATGGCAATGCTAAATAAAACATCTCTTTTTGGCATTATATTTGACAAAATGTGGAAACATGTTATCTCCAGTCATCCTTTTCCTTCCTTATCATATACTGTATAATTTTATCTTTTTATTATAAATATCTTATGATAATGATATGTTATGAATTGAACTGAGCATTTTGAATTTTCATGCTATGGAAAAATCTTGTATAAATTCATTCGCCAGGTAAATTAAATTAAAATAAAATAGGGCATGTTTTCTAAGAGAACAAAACTATTTTGGTTCTTTGGTTTGATTGTATATTCTTTAATGTTTAACTAGTAACAAATAGAAGAGAAAACTGAGCTAGCAGCTCTTTGAGTCTGTATTGTGATAGAACTAAAAGCTTTCAAATAAATAAAAAACAAATACCAGTGGTTTGTTGAATCACGTGTGTGAAACAAACCATTAGACATGAGTAAACTATGCAGGTAAAATATGGGTAGAAAACACCCCTAAAACACAGGGAATGGATTAGACTGAAGTCATAGCATAATAACCATATAAAAAAGTTAATTTGACTCTTTGTCTCAGATTTAGTGGGTCTAATAAGAACCTTATAGTAAAGATAAATTGGTAATAAGGGACAAGAATCCTACGTTGTTAAAGTCTTTTCATTTCAGAGAAAAGGTTTGCTGCAAAAACTTGACTTATTTATAGCAAAAATAAAATGATCTGATTACCTGGGGAGATATTCTGAGTGATGTTACAAAAGTCCTTCAGCTGGTTGTTGAGGATGATCCCAGTATTTCGAGAGTAGACCCTGGAGCCAAAACTGTTAAAACAGCAGGGAACTCTTTTCAGCATGATATATTTGTAAATAGAGTTGGTGTATAAATAAAAGAGCCATCACCAAGAAAGTAAATTATTAGCTTAAAGATTAGGTTTGGATTTTTGAATTTAGGTTCTGTAGAGTTATAAGAAGGATGTTATTTCACCATCAGCTTGTCGAAAAAGTAATTGGGCAAGAAGCCAGTTAGAGATACACTATTAGTTTGCCTCCTCTCATTGGATTGATCTGATGATCCTCACTAGATAGAAGTTCTTGAAAGTAGAGGATCATACCGACATCTTTGCTCCCCTAAATTGACAAAAGATCCATGTTAATAGAAGTTTCACCAGGAAGAGTTGGAGTACATCAGACTGATTTATTCAGTCAACAGACTCAACCAATCTCACTCTTCATAGGAATTACTGGCAAAAAAAATGTCAGATGTAAAAGGCTGATATAAAGCTGTAGACTTATCATCTAAAATAGTGCTCTATCCCACTAATATGAACATTTTCCATTTGATTATTTCACAGTTTTAGTCTAAATACAGGGGCAGATTTACCATTAGGCAAAACTAGGCAGCTGCCAAGGGCCCCAAGTTCGTGGGGGCCCCATAAACCTCCTTTCACATGTATGGTTAATACAGGTATTACTCATTTGTGCACAATTATGTGTTTGATACAAATCCTTTCTCTAAAATGCCATGAGAATGCTTGTTAAAGTAAGCCCCCCACCCCACCCCCGACAACCCCCACCACATTGGATCAGTCTATTTGCTGCACAACTGCAGCAAAGCATTTGAAAACAAACGGTGCAAAGAGTACTTTTGCCAGTTTTGCCCTATGCGCTTTTGTTGCTTTATTGAGCAACTTTTCAGACCCCTCTGTCACTTCTTTAAAAAAGTGCTTATTTATAAATAATAAAATTTAAGATAAATTCTGTATCTGTATAATGGGTCTGTTTTATGTGTTGTCTTTTCAATTCAGAGGGTGAAATCTTCAATAATTGTTGTTGATTGCAGATGTGTCTAGTAGTTCCCATTGATTTTGCTTGTAAAGCGGGGAGAATGGCGCTAGGCTTACCGCACCGTGACGTCACTGCTGGAAGATGGCAGGAGGGAGGGGTTACTATATTTGGGCAAAAAATGGCCGTTCCCAGACTCTGTGTTATGGTTTTGGTTCTGTTTAAGTTTTATTTTTGAGTTTTCATTTGTCTTATTTTCATTTTGTGTGATTCTAGTTATTTTTGATTGTATTTGAGTTTTTATGTATCCCTTCTAGACTCCTCTCTTCACACCTGCTCCCAATCTGCTGATTAGCCTGGTCTTTGTTTCTCTCTCCCCTATATGCACCTCCTGCTCAGTCACTGTTGCTGGTTTGTCGTCATTTCTTTGCCCCATTGTTGTGAGGATTCCTGGTTTTCAGCATTTTTGGATTTTGTGGATTTATGTTGGTGGATTTTTGCTTCTGTTGCCTTTTTGTTATTAAATTGCAGATGTGTCTAGTAGTTCCCATTGATTTTGCTTGTAAAGCGAGGAGAAAGGCGCTAGGCTTACCGCACCGTGACGTCACTGCTGGAAGATTCACTGATTATGACGAAAATGATTATTTTTATTTTTTCACTGATTAACTCTATTGAATCACTGCGAACGTACTAGCTTTAGGTATAAATAGCGATCCATTGATTATTCCTTGCTGACTTGACTTCTCATTTAAAAAGCTCTAATTAAACCTTTTGTTGATTATCTTGTAAAGGATCCAAAAGTAGAGCTTGACTGAAGGTAAAATAAGTTACTTAATGGTGAAAAAGATTAGTCTTACAGGAGCTGAACTGACAGAACGGGACATTAGGCACGGACATAGTAGTGACAGTAACAGAATAGAGTGAGGCAGAATAACAAACATGAGAGCAGGCAAGCAAACAGAAGAACCCAGGAGCAAAGAAAGAGACAAATCTGTGGCCCCTGCTGGGTCAGTCCTCTAAAGCCTCAGAAGATGCCCCCATCAAAGCAGAACATATCAGATACTAACAAAGCGTTGATGGAGCTGGTGACAGAGACAGCAATTCCAGACTCATCCAGGACAGATAAGTGTGTTGTACCAGAGCCGCCCTCATATTTCGTCTGGCTTTTGGGTCCTTCGTTTGATTTGATCTTTCTCCATATCTCTTTAGCAAAGCTAGAGTCTAAAATCTTTTTTGCATCCTGTTAAAAACAAATGAAAGAAAATAATTATGCATGAGATAACTTGATGAGGTCATCCCAATGGTTTGAAAACCCTTTTATTCCATTTTATTTCCCTAGTCCCAAATCTTTGCTGATTTAGAGTGTATAAATAAAACTATTGGTATGCTCACTTCCCTGCTAACTACATTCTCGAGGATAAGTCAGGGACTGATCCCTAAAAAGAAACCGTCTGATTCCAACCATCAGCTGGTTCCTCAATTGCAGTTATTTTAAAACTTGTGCACATCTATGACCAAATACTTTATATTGCATTGTTTAATATACTTACCTTTAAATTACAATTACCACAATCCGGATCCATTGTAAAGTTTCTCAGTTCATTAGCAAACTTTAAAGCTTCCGCGTACCGTTGATAAAACAAAGTCGTATTTGTAGAATTCTTTAACTCCTTCTTAAATTCTGTGAACAGAAATAATACTTTGTTTGATCCTATATGTTTTCCCGTCCATTGTCACTCTACATCATTTCCTAAAATTTATCAAAACTCTTCCCACGTGATGTACTCTAGGATAAATGTTAGTATAAGTAACCAGAACACAGCATTCTCCTGTTTCAAACATCTTTTTTATGCTACACTTCATTTTGTACATAGAGAGAATCCACAGATCTGATGTCTGAATCCAGCTGCAACCTTTCATGATGTTGAGGACGATGCCGAGAAGTACCCCTCCTGAGGGGGGAGGGGGTATGTACATCTGATAGTCCCCAATAAAGATGTTCCACGCATCAGTCACTTTAACCTTATATGATGCCAAGTCCTCCAGTGTGAGGACTCCTCCTGGGAAAAAAACAACAAAATATACGAGAGAAACCATGAAAACTAAACCAGCTGACATAAATCCTGACCTTTAATAGATCAGCTGCTGTCTGAGAGATTACTGTGGTGCATACAGATCAAATTGATTTGCTCATTTCTAATTGAATCATTGAGCAATGCAGACATAGAGGAAAGTGTTCTGACAATACCTGCCTCCTGCACGTCTCTGACCAAATCCTCTGCTATCCTTCCAGAGTAAAAGGCCTCTGCTCCATCGTCTGCAATCGTCTCCAAAGTGTCTGCCAGTTTCTCAAATTTAATGATGTCTCCAGTCTTGAGCAGGTTTCCTTTTTCATCTGTAAATGCCTTCCTGAGAAGAGTTCAAATGTAAAGCTTTGTTATACTTTTTCAGCCACACTGAGTGGTATTGCCTTCTATACAGTACCTTACGGAATCGTTTTCTGAAATTTTTTGGATGTAGCAGCCTTGAATTCGAGGAACCTTGATTCCTTCTCTGGCCCGCTTAATGGTCCATTGGAAGAGGTCGGCCCAAGGCAGTTTTCCAAATAGCTTGTGAGCCTTTTCATAGCCTCGAATTTCCCCTGGAACTCCAATCCAATACATACCTGTACATATGGATGAAAGGACAATGTTTGAGTTTAGGAGAGAAACTATTTTATGGTGATTTTAATGTGACAATGCAAAATAAGTAGGCAATACGTGGGAATATTTTTTTCAACATTCCTTGGCATGCCACTTTCTAATAAATGAAATCAGATTTTGTATTCAGCCCAACAGTCGACTTTTTGTTAAATTACCAAAAGTAGAACCACAAAAACAAATAAAAGAAAAACAATTATGCATTAGAAGTCTTGTGGGGTTTTTTATGTATTTTTTTTGTAACCTGTTCTCCCAAACTTCATAAAAGTTTTTGTAGTCTTTTGTTTTTCATACTTCCAAATCTCTTTTAATTATAATACCAAACTTGCATGTTTGGTATTTGTCTTTTTAAGCATAGCTAAAGTTTAGTAGCCTCGTGAGACCATCCTGATCTCGCGAGCTTTCAAGGTTTCACTCGCTAATCAGTCTGGAGACTCTCCGTTAAAGAAAATTTGGAGCCGTTCACCAAACGAACGTCCAATCAGCGTTGGCTTTGAGGCGGGTTGAGGTGTGACGCAACGAGAAGCGCGACAGTTCAGTCTAAAGAACATGGCGGCTTCAGCCGATGAAACTAGCGTTAGCGTGGCTATCGAGCAAGTTTTATCGGAATTACAGAGTATTTCTTCACTGAAAGAAAAGCAAAACACTGCTCTGGAGGCTTTTCTCAGAGGAAAAGATGTTTTTGCTCTTCTCCCCACTGGTTTCGGCAAGAGTTTGATCTATCAATTGGCTCCTCTTCGTCGTCGCTCTGTTAGTACATCATATGCTTCGTTGATCTGATTGGTTTATTTGGCCCGTCTATCACCAACATAGGCCAATCAGCTAACCAGTATTTTCGCCCCTTCCCAAAATTACTTCAACGGAAGGTTTCCAGATGGATATGCGGAGCAAATCCATCTGGCGGAGTCAGGTTAAAAGTTTAGTCAGCTTGAATAAAGTTTCCTTGAACATTAAGTTTCACATTCTTCAACAGATTCTCAATCTGATCTAATTCAGGGCTTTAACTAGGCTTCTGTAATAGAGAGACATGCTTCATGTAATCATTAGATTGTTATTCCGGCTGTAGGTTAAGGGTTGTTTAACTTCCGGTTAATTTCTCAGTCTTTTTCAGGCTCAAACAGGTTTCTGCTATATTTATCTTTAGATGTAACAAACTTTTCCACTGCATCAAGGTGTGGAGTTATAGATCTTTATAAAAATAAATGTAAAGGAAAAAGATAATTAAATGTATGTACATATTTATTATGAAACCATAGATACCTTTGCTGCCAGAAGAATTAAGTTTAGAACAACATTGGGAACGTTAGTAAGGTTTTGGTGTTTTAGATTGTCTCTTTGTGGAAATATAGCCCGTAATCTTATCGTTCAAGGTCACTTTGATTTCACATTCTATTATAATGTTTTCTATGTTTTTATTAAAACAACAGTTACCAAATGTTAGTTTTGCATTGTTTGCACAGCTTAAACGCTGGTTTTGATTTGCCTTACCCCCGTGACATTTGGAAAACATTTGGTTATTGTAATAAGTTTCCAGGTAACTTATCTTTTTAAGTTTACAATTTTGTTTACAACTTGCCTTTCAAGTTGTTGTCCTAAATGTGATATCTGAGTTTTGGTGTTGATTTGAGCATCCTCTTTATTAGACTTCCGTATAACAACCGTGTCTTTAGTCAGAGTGTACTCCAGATCCACTGAAAGACCGTCTTCTATAAGAGATCAAGCCATTAAGGATGGCTTCACAAATACCAAACTGGGTTTGTAAATATTCTGCTGTTTCTGTGGAATAATATAATTTTGGTTTAAAGGTTCAAGCTGTTGTGGTTTTTGAGCCCAAACCATTTCTCATGTGTTTCAGAGGCAACAAAAAGCTATTTTAAGGCCATTTATTAAAGTTTCAGAAATCAGATAAAACGTTTACAAACCACAAAGTGGGTATGTGGTATGAGGTAACAGTTTGAAGTGTCTGAGTATTTTAGTTTTTTTTTTAGCTGGATTGGTTCTAATGCGACCCAGAACCACTAGAAAGCTGCAAAACCAGCCTTTATCAAAGCTTCACAGATCAGCTCTAACAAATTCCAAAGTTGATTTTAAAGATTCTACTGTTAGTATGGAATAATAAAATAACGGGTTTGAAGTGTTTGAGTGCTGCAGTTTTTAAACTACGGCTGTTTTTAAACACAGTGCAAACGTGCAGAAGCTTCGGCAATAGTTTCTGTGCACGGGCCTAAAATGACATGCAGCAACAAACTACCTACCATTTTTATTTGGAGGTTCTCCGCATTTCGTTTTGAGATCAGAAATCACATTTAAAGGTGCAGTCTCCCTGGAGTTGATGATCGTCACATGACCTTAAAAAGATATTCACACCATCAGTTATTATCAGTAGCTATTATTAGAACATTTCTGTTTGTGTTTGACTGCATGGCCATTTTCTCACCTGAGCTGTCCATTACTGTGAATATAGAGCCCCCTCCGAGCCCCGCGCTCTGCGGGTTTACGATGCTGGTGCACAGAAGCGCAGCAATGGCAGCATCTACTGCAGAGCCACCCTTTTTAAGTATGTCCCTAGAAAAATTAAACATGTCATTAGTATGTGTCTGGTTGATCCTAGACTCTAATAATAAGTTTAAATGTACAGCTACACCAAGTCCTTCATCTGTATAACAACCCATCATCTTCATTTGCTATATTGAAATGTTTCCAATAAAATAATCACCATTTTATAGTCAAACAATACCAATTATGATTTTCACCACTAGATCCAGGACGCCTTCCTAACTAAGACTATGTTCATACTGCAGGCATTAATGCTCAATTCAGATTTTTTTGTGAATTTCCATTGTATTGCGTAGCTTGTAACAGTTCTAAATATAGGCGACTTGTATCTGATCTTCTGTGTGAACTGCAGTCACACATAGGGCTGGGTATCGTTCAAAAATTTTCGGTTCCGGTACCGATACCGATACCTTCACTTCGATACCGGTTCCTGAACGATACTTTTTTCCATACCAGTTTTATAATATCAATTCGAAGAAAAAGAAAATTACACAACATAATAAAGTACAAATCTTGAGTTTTATTTTAAGCTCTGATTTTTCCATTTACATTTTTCCTCTTACATAATATTTTTTTTTTTTCAGTGAAGAAGAACAGTTGCAAACAAGTCAGTGTCTAATATTCACTGTTACATTGTGAGGACCTGTTTAGTTAGCAGTTTTTCTTTAGAAAAATTAACATGTCTGCTTTCTCAGGAGACAAACAAGCCCGTTGAATGGGATTCCTAGTGACAGCGCACCGCTGGTATGTGGGGGTCTGAGCGGCTCTGACAGAAATAATATTGGAAGGCAGGATGAACTGACTGCACTGATTAAGTTTTCAGGTGGATTTTCCCACTTAAAAACAAAACAAAACTACTTTCTTCCCACTGATCACAGCAAATATAGCTGCAAGGCAACTGCATACTATTGGCATCAGTCTTAATAAAGTGAAGCCGCACTTTTGACCTGGGGGGCATTTTAAAGGGGTTCCACGACGCTGCAACCAGTTCACAACAGAAACACATGAACCCTGGCTGTAGGCGTGACCACCTATGTATTTTTCCTGGATGACGCAATCACGTTAAGTGTTACAGCCAATCATCGAAACTTGGCACCGAAAGACGAGGCATGTTTCGATACTCTGTAGAACCGAAGCATTTCGGTCGGTACCATAAAAGAACCGATGTTTGGTACCCAGCCCTAGTCACACAACTTAAAGGTAAAGAGGAGGATTTTCACAATTTTAAAAAAAAAATACCCGCCCTCTCCACTTAAAAAATAAAAAATGCACAACCCTGTAAATTTTAACGCATGCAAGAGTGTGCACGGGGCCATTTCTTCTTGTGCTCACTCTGTTTAAAAGGTCCTGTTTGCATCTCTCTAACTTTCCAAAAGAAGATTTGCAATTTTTCCACTCTGTCACTCACCACTGGTAAGTGAAATTGGGGACAAGGATACGTAGGACGTATCAATCATTCTGGTGTCATATCACCAGAATGATTGACAATTAGGAGGACCACCCAGAAAAAGAACATCCTCCACTATACCTTTAAGTGACGTGCATGTGCAGTAGAGGATGCAATAAGGTCACAAGCAAGCATGATCTGTGTATACGGAAATAAACATGGATGTAATCATTCACAACTTCAGCCAGGGTTTCAACTAGGGGTGTAAATCACATCCATCATGGCGATTCGATTCAGTATCGATTTCCTGACCCAATGGTTCGATTATTTTCGATACTCAATAATACACCACGATACGATTCGATTCAATTAATCGGTTAATTTTTTTTTTTTTTACACCTTACAGGCTAAACAAAGTTTCAAGTTTGAAATAAATCAATGAAAGCTGTAATATCGTTATGCATTTTTTTTCCAAAACAACAGCAAATAACAGAAGTAGAAAAGTTGCATCAAAAAATACTGCAAAAATACTGCACATAATCAGTATAAGTTATACTCAGAACACTCAATTAATATCAGCAAAAAAGCCCTAAAAGCTGAAAGTCCAGAATTGCCCATTCTTTTTATTTTTAATAATAATGTCCACAAATGAGTTCCATATCCTCTGAACTCAAAACAAAGTCCTGGAAGTATTCAAGTCCAAAGTCCTGTTCCAAAATGAAAAATCCAAACGTCAAACCCCCCAAAAAAGATAAGATAAAAGAGCCACCACCAAAAATCCCCAAAGGAAAAATAAAGTCCAGATCTCACGGGGAGCGTCTTTCTTTCGTGCTCTGGGTGCAAACTCCGATCAGTTTCTAAATGCCTGTTCTGCGGCGCTGGGACGAACTTTGATTTCTGTTTTATCTTTGTTTTTTGATTTTTAACTAGTTTTAACATACAACCAAAGCAAAATCTCCCGCTGCATAGATCTGACATTGCGCGTCTTCCTCTCCGGTCCAGCCGCGTGCGCTGACGCACACTCCCCTTTTTATTAACAGCTGTTCTCCACACCAAAAACAAAACTGCATTTTAATACCCAAAATCAGTTTAAACCAGAGGAGATTCGAAATAATATTACCAATAAAACAATAGCTGTTCTATCAAACAGTTTGTTATCTGTATACTTTAATGTACTTATGCAAGAAAAGAAAATAACGTGTTACAATGTAAACATGTTTTACTTTCTGTATCAATTCCATTTATTCTTAAATGCATTTATTAAACCTACACAAATTCAATTAAGTAATGAAATAATTACTAAATAAAATAAAAATAATTATTTTATGATGTAATTATACATCATAAAATGGCCAGTCCATCCCAGCACTGGTAGAAAATGCGCTATTTGGGATCAGATAGTATTAGAGCTCTACTGCGCGCAGGAGGATTAACAATGAGGAAACAGAAAGTGCGCTTTTTATAGAAGGAAGCGGAGAAAGGATTATTCCAGGTTAACGCTGCAAATGTTACAAACATTACAAACTTACCCTTTGTGATTAAATATAAGTACAAATTTAACTGTGTGACGAAATTAGGAATCTGCGTAAACCAATCAGCTTTTTAAAAAATGTTAACACCTTTTATTTATCCACTCAGGGTCTGAATATTTTCAAATACACCTTAAAGATTTAAGGGCAATGCACAGCAGCCCCTTCACCTCTGAAATGCAGCACTGTCAGCTTTAACAGTCAGTACAGAAAATTGTTAATCAGTCTTTTAATTAACTCTGCATTTTAATAGTCATTAATGACAAGTGAAGATCAGAACTTACCTTCCAACCACTGAGCAGGTCTCTGAGTCTGCAGCTACAGCACCTTTCAAAAAGATGCCGTCTGGACATCTGGAGCTTTCTGCACTTCTTAATAATCTTAATTTTGGGGAAACCTCTGAGCATATGTCAAAGTCCGAGGGATGTTTATTCTTTGAGAAAATAATGACCGCAAAGACAACAACAGTGGAAACCGCGATAAAACAGATGATGGACTTCTTGACAGTAAACCTTCGTGTCATGCTAGACAAAGATCCCTCCATGGCTTCCATGTCCTTCTGCTCTGAATGCAGCCCAGGTTCAGAAATCAAACTCCTGCATTAGTGATTAAGTACACCCGCTTTGACACAAGCTTCAAATGCTCACCTGGTTATACCAAAGGGGCGGGGACAGGTGTGTCTTTTATCTTCTCAATAAAACTCTTAAAGTAAAAAATAGAAAAGAAGTTTTGAGTTACTACTGGGCACAAAAGTCTTTTTTTCACAATTAAACATTGCTCAATATGAAAAACAAACAAAAGAAGTAATTACACTCGATGTCAAAAACTAAGGAATCCAGTCTTAGATCATTTTTAACCAAAACTTAGGGACTCAGGGCTTTACCCAGACCTTACAGCCAAGTGAGCAATTTGACAGTTTAGGAATCTTGCTAAAACTGTCAGAGATTTTAAGTCAAAAAACAGACACTTGTTTCACCTAATGTATTGTGAAAATGTACAAAACATTGGAACTGTGTTATAAAACTGGGGGCTTCAATTAAAATTGCCATTGTTATATTTCATGAAAAATATAAATTCCATAATATCTTGCACAAAACTGTTAATAATTACATTTTTAAATATTAATTGAACGGTTATAGCAAAGTGGACTGGTTGTAAATAACAATACATAGACTGTTATTTTTAAGCATCAACTATAAAGTTCAACACTTGCTATGCATAATAAATTCAAAGCGGTCAATATAATCCCCTTTAATGTTTTTTGTAAATCTTACTAAAAACAATCTAATTATTTACAAGATCACAGTAATATACATCATGCCAAAAGAACTTATGCAGCTATAGGTTCAAGTATTTGTTTTTCTAGCTCATTTTATGACTTATTTATTCATTTGAGCATTTTCCAGCATTTTTTTATGTATTTATTTTTATTGTCATTACACTGTCACAAGTACAGTGCAACAAAATTGACTCCCTGCATTTAATCCATCCCCTTGGAGAGCAGTGGGCTACCATTGCGCGGCGCCCAGGGAGCAGCGTGGGGTTAAGGGTCTTTGCTCCAAGAGCAAGAGTGGCAGTCTGTGGGAGTGGGGCTGTGGTTGACATGATGTAGAACAAATGTAATACAATTAAAAATGAGACCTGCCTTTTTTCAAGTATGTCTTTACTACTGCTGTTCAAAAAATACCTATTATTTTCGAGAATAAAAAAAACAACTTTGAGTCATGTTTGAACTGATGCAGCTTAGGCTGTGTTTTACTCACCCAATTTTCATTTATATTTTTATTAACACATGTAATATGGGCTTACAGTTCCTCAGTTATTTTGTTTTCCTTTTGGGTATGCAATATAGGTGAAGATTACTTCAAATTGGGTAGGTGTTAAATGACTACAAGTCAACAAAATGTCTATAATGTAGAATTGTATCCAGGATTTATTTACTTTAAAAATCATCATCATCATCAATCAGAGATAGTTGCTGGTTAAGTAAATATAACTTTAAAATGGTATCTGTTACTTGTTAATTCCCCAACTGCTGTTAAATTAAATTCAGTTGAAAAATATTTCATTAATCCTAAAAGAAAGTCAAATAATGTAAGCCAGCAGTGATACTGATGTCTGCAGGGAGAAGGGATCTCCTGAACTGGTCTGTCCCACAGTGGATCTTTTGTTGCTGTTCAACAGTCTCATGAGGAGGATGCAGGGGATGTTCATGGTGTTCTTCTTGGGAAATCATGTTCAGAAGATGTGGAGGACCGGCCAGAACAGAATCAGCCCTATTTATTAGATTGTTAAGCTTCTTTAGGTCATTTGTTCTGATGCAGTTACTATATGACTGTTGTCAACAATAACTGACATCTTCAACAAGTCATAAAAAAGAATCCAGAACGAGTTACAATTACTTTTAATTTTCCCACCTTCTTCTAGTCATCAGTGCCAGATTATTCTCGAGCCTGTGGTGAGAGTTTCCCTAGCGTACCTAAGTGTTACTGATTGCCTGATCCTGACCCGTTCTGCCTTTGGACCTCAGAGCCTGCCTGTCCCTTTTCTGATCTGTTTGCCTAAACTGTCTTCGGACTCCTGCTGGATTCTGCCCATTCACTGAACTTGGAACTTACTCCTGACACCGTTCTGGATTTCCCTTCGGAACCTCTTCGGACCTCTGATCTCCTGGTTCTGACCCCCGAGCATGTTGAATAATTTGAATAATGCTGTAATAAAGATTTGACCAAGTGTTTCAGTTTGGCCTGGGATTTCCGGTTGGCCTTCATTTCTACCATTCTTCATGGAACAACAAGCTTAGCTGGGTTTGTTTTCCTTCTTTATAAGTTGTTTCTTCCCTTGTTTTTGAAACCACCCAAGCGTCACTCTCACTAGTCCTGCAGTCACACTATCGCTTATTGCCTAGACTAACTAGGTCACAGTAATTTATTCAGTTAGCAGCGCTCTAGATCAGAAAGCTATCACAGCTAAACATAAACAAACAGCTGCCTGGAAAAATGTACAGTTATAGATTTTTAAAAGTTGTATTTATCTGTCCTAAAGCAATTTCAGAGAAGCAAAAAACACGTGATTTAGTTTGCATGGTATTTTTTTTTAATATAAAATCTTCTATATTTCTTTCACTCAATACAAAGAGGTAAAAAGATGCTTTTTTGAGACTTCAGTTATAGATTTATGGTTTTGACATAACGATTTAGGTATAGTGTTAAAATTGTTTGCTAAAGGACAGACACAATACATGCTAGGAAAAATCAACTCAGTTGAGCTGAAAGATATTCTAACCACCTGTTAAGATAAAAGCTGCTTTGTTTACATTGTTCACATTTTCGCTGGAGTTAAAACCTGTTAAACCTGTTTTCATGACCTCTTTTGATAGCTCCCTAGTTTTCCCTAGTTTTCTAGTAATTCCTATTACTCCTTATTAAACCTGAACAATTATCTTCCAAAGAACATATCTTATAAAATTAAAATAAAGATACTAATAAAAAAAACAAAAGAAATTGGTTTATACAACCTATGATTTCAGTTCAACACCTATTTTAGAGACCTCCTGAAGCAATAATACATGATGTTTAATATAAACATGACATCACTTAGCTGTTGATGTAAAAAAGATTTTATTTTTATTAATTGTTTTTATGGTTGGAAAAAACTATCTCCTATTATTTCCCCTTTACATACTGATTTATGAGGTTTGAGTTTCATTCATTCAGTCCGCAGAGCTGCAAAGCTACAAGATTAGTTGTTTATCCTATTATGGAGCCTTCCTGTCTCCATTCTGATCTGTTTGCCTGACTTGTCTTCATATTCCTGTCGTGTTCCTTCCTGTCTGTAAACTGGACCTGGAACTGTTTCCCAACTGGATTTCCCCTTGGCACCTCTTCAGACCTCTGATATCCATGCTCTGACTACCGAGCATGTCTTTGACACCGGATTTGGCTTCGACCTCTTGATTATCCTGCCTTTCTTCGTCTGCTAGGTTCTGATCTCCTGCCTCTGCTCTGACCTCTGAGACATCAGTGTCTGGGACTGTCTGGGCAGTGTTCACCACATCGTGTTGGCAGCCACCAGCTGGAACCAAACTCTGGGCTCAGCCTCTTGGCTCTGACTGAACTATAAGACCAGGTTAGTGACTTACATGTTCATTATCATCCACCTCTAGATAGACGTGGTCAGTAACCTGTGGTCTCCTTCTGTAAAGGTTCCTGCCTTAGACGCCAATGCTGCTCACTGCAGTTCTGTTTCTAATCAACTGTTTCTAATAACTGTTTGTACGCCTCGAATACTGATTCCTATTGTTCTGAGCTTGGCAATATGGATGAGAAGGGACAAAAAAAAAATTGTATCTTGATGAAACATTAACATTTATTAGCAACTGAGTATTTGATATTAGTTTCTGAATAAAAAAGAAGGTACAAGTGTCAGATAATGGTAACTTGGACTTACCAATCATTGACAGAGATTTCTAAATTTGAGAATGTCCCAGATCAATGTATGTCAAGGCTGAGAACAGAGGACAGAGTAGACAGATAGTAAGATATCTCAAAAAGCATGTATTTAAAGTTACGGATCTGCAGTGAACAGCGAGGGCATCTAAGGCTGGAACCTAAAGTTCAGTCCGTGCCCAGAAGACGAGGTTGATTCCAGCCGGTCGGCTGCAAACAAGACGTGGCGAGCACCGCTGAGAGAGTCCTAGTCACTGATGTCTCGGTGGTTGGAGGAATGCAGGAGATCAGAACAGAGCAGGCAAAGGAAGGCAGGATTATCCAGGGGGCAAAGCCAAGGCCGGTGCCAAGGACAGGCTCGGGGGTCCGAACCAGGACATCAGAGATGCGAAGAGGTTCTGAAGGGAAAGCCAGAACGCTGTTTGGAATAAGTTCCAAGTTCGGTTAACAGGCAGAATCCAGCAGTAGTCCGAAGACAGGATAGACAAAAAAGGCAGAAAATTTTACCTATCAGAACCTTTTTTATGAAAAGATTTAACACCGTACATTGTTTTATTCCCAGTACAGACACACCTGACTCCTGCTAACATATCTGAACCGATCTTCTAATTGGCAAATCCCTTGTTAAATAGTCATTGATATTATTAATTACATAAAAAGATTATTATTTTTTTTTTACAGTTGAAAGGTTGGGACTGTGGTCCTATTAATTCCCTTTAACATATATATTGATTTATCAGTACTGACTTTTATTCATTCAGGCCTCAGAGCTGCAACACTACAAGATATCTAAAGGTTAGGGGTTGTTTATCATATTAGTGAGTGTTTGGGATAAAAATAATAATCTTCTAATAACAAGCTAGACTGGTTTCAGGGTTTTTATTCATAACATTATACTGTTTGCCCAGACTATCTGTAATTGTTTTGAGTAACAGTATGTGGAGAACTTCACTGCCTTTTTGCAGAGTTGAAGTTGGTGAGAAACAAACTTTGTTGAGGCAGAGCAGAGCTGGACATCATGCCAACTTATTCTCATTCTTTACAAAGAAAAAAAATGCCTACTGAGTGAAATCAATCAATCCATCAAACTGTTCATGTTTCTTTACATAGTTGAATACCTTTTTCCCACAATAATTTTATAGATTACATTTTATAGATTACCACAAAAAAAGAACAGAAACAAAAACATTTACCTTT